TGTTCCTGCTTAAAGCACTTTTGGTCTGCAGGAAAATGCACTTAAGCCGACAAAAGTTCTGTATGTATTCTGAGAGAAAAAAAAACAGAGCGTGTAGCTAAAGCTGGCAGTAACTGCGGCGCAGCGTCTCAAAGTAAATTATCTTCTCATAAAGAATTAAAAGAAAAAATGGCTCTGAAACTTTTTTGTTCTTTGTTTTGTTGTTTTTTTTATCTGATTTTATTTACGGTTTTGCGATTCAGACCTTTGTTATTTTTTTTAAGGTTGTCACCGTGAGTTCCCTTTATACACTGAATATTGTATTGATCCAGAAGATTCCAGTTGTTTTAACCCTTTGAGCCCTAGTTGGCTGAGGATGATATTCCTCTGTGAAAGGTTGTAGAAATGGCTGTTGGTGATAGGTATGGTCATTGGATAACATGACGAAGCATGAATCTTCTCGTTGTATCTCTACATTCGAGGAGGAAGCCATACCCTCTTCTTTGACCCTGTATATGTTCGTCCCCAAGTCCTCATCTCTCCTCACCAGCTTTGAGTGTGGTCCATAAACCGAGGCTTATGATTCGTGTAACCTCTTCCTGGTTTGGGAAGAGCTACTACCTTGTTGAGTAGGATGTCCGAGCTGTAAATGCCAGATGTAGGAAGTCCAAGCTGTAAATGCCGGATGTAGGAAGTCCGAGCTGTAAATGCCGGATGTAGGAAGTCCGAGCTGTAATTGCTGGATGTAGGATGTCCGAGCTGTAATTGCCGGATGTAGGAAGTCCGAGCTGTAAATGCTGGATGTAGGACGTCGGAGCTGTAAATGCCGGATGTAGGACGTCGGAGCTGTAATTGCCGGATGTAGGATGTCTGAGCTGTAATTGCCGGATGTAGGATGTCCGAGCTGTAATTGCCGGATGTAGGATGTCCGAGCTGTAATTGCCGGATGTAGGATGTCCGAGCTGTAATTGCTGGATGTAGGAAGTCTGAGCTGTAAATGCCGGATGTAGGATGTCCAAGCTGTAATTGCCGGATGTAGGATGTCCGAGCTGTAATTGCCGGATGTAGGATGTCCGAGCTGTAATTGCCGGATGTAGGAAGTCTGAGCTGTAAATGCCGGATGTAGGAAGTCCGAGCTGTAAATGCCGGATGTAGGATGTCCGAGCTGTAATTGCCGGATGTAGGATGTCTGAGCTGTAATTGCCGGATGTAGGATGTCTGAGCTGTAAATGCCAGATGTAGGAAGTCCGAGCTGTAAATGCCGGATGTAGGATGTCCGAGCTGTAAATGCCGGATGTAGGAAGTCCGAGCTGTAAATGCCGGATGTAGGATGTCCGAGCTGTAATTGCCGGATGTAGGATGTCCGAGCTGTAATTGCCGGATGTAGGATGTCTGAGCTGTAAATGCCGGATGTAGGAAGTCCGAGCTGTAATTGCCGGATGTAGGATGTCCGAGCTGTAATTGCCGGATGTAGGATGTCTGAGCTGTAAATGCCAGATGTAGGAAGTCCGAGCTGTAAATGCCGGATGTAGGATGTCCGAGCTGTAAATGCCGGATGTAGGATGTCTGAGCTGTAAATGCCGGATGTAGGAAGTCCGAGCTGTAATTGCCGGATGTAGGATGTCCGAGCTGTAAATGCCGGATGTAGGATGTCTGAGCTGTAATTGCCGGATGTAGGATGTCCGAGCTGTAATTGCTGGATGTAGGAAGTCTGAGCTGTAAATGCCGGATGTAGGAAGTCCGAGCTGTAAATGCCGGATGTAGGATGTCTGAGCTGTAATTTCCGGATGTAGGACGTTGGAGCTGTAAATGCCGGATGTAGGATGTCTGAGCTGTAAATGCCGAATGTAGGACGTCCGAGCTGTAAATGCCGGATGTAGGAGGTCCGAGCTGTAAATGCTGGATGTAGGACGTTGGAGCTGTAAATGCCGAATGTAGGACGTCTGATCTGTAAATGCCAGATGTAGGATGTCCGAGCTGTAAATGCCGGATGTAGGATGTCCGAGCTGTAAATGCCGAATGTAGGACGTCCGAGCTGTAAATGCCGGATGTAGGATGTCCGAGCTGTAAATGCCAGATGTAGGACGTCCGAGCTGTAAATGTGGGATTAGCTGTGTTTTTTCAATGCGTGCTGTGTGAGAGACAGTTGGTCTGTCAATTAACATGTACAGGAATATTAAAAAAGAATTCAAAGTCAATTTAAAATGGCAGACAAAATAGCTGAACTGGAAGCTTATACAGGGCTATTCACTAATGTGAGAATTCAAAGACAATTTCAAATTTAAGGCCAGAGTAGCAGAACCAGAAGCATTGCTGACCTAGAGAATGTTTCCAGTTTGGCTAGTTTGGCCTGACATTTGAAATTGTCTTAGAATTCCTGTCGGTTCCCACTTGAGTAAATGCCCAGTAATAGATGGTTTGTTAATGATATACAGTGATGGACTGGGAAGAGAGGTAGTTATGGTTTCAGGGGTAACAGGTTCATGGTAGGCCACTTGGTGCATTTTTTAAATAATATCAGTTTTATGAAGCCTTTGCTCAAACTGATACGAAGTAAAGAATGTTTCAGGTAGCAGGACCTTTCAACTGTTAGGTTTATCATTTCATGAGCAACTCTTTTTCTTTTCCAAAAATATTACGTAGTATTGCTCCCCATAACTTTACTTAACCCCCTAGCCGTGACTTTATTAGTCTCCTTAACTTAGCGTAACAGGTCCCATAAATGAACTGCCCCTCATTAGTTAAACAGACCCCAAAAGTTGAGTTAACAGGTCCGGTATTGTAACAGTCCAATCATATGGCCCCTTTAACTTAGTATAAACCAGTCTCCTTACCATTAACCAGTCTCCATAATTAAACTTAACTGGTCCCCATAACATCACTTACCTGGCCATTTTAACTGATCCCCTTTACTTAACATAAACCAGTCCCCGTGATTTAACTTAACCAGTCTCTTTAACTTTCCGACTTCCCATACTTTAACTTTCCTGAACTCCGTAAGTTACAGCGGAAAATATACTGCACCAAAGACAACTGAGTGATCGAGAAAATACACAAAGCAATTCTTTTATTCTTTAACATATCATAAAGAAACCGTAAATGTCATGGGAAAAATACTAGATACAAAATGTTTTGTTTTTTATTCTCCGAGCTAACAATAAGCTATTCACAGTGTGCGTAACATAGAAACAGCGGGGAGTTTCAGAACAATGAGTGTACATGTAAATTGAGCTAAAAGTCACGGTAAAGTATCTGCTATTGAACACTCTTACTGCATCGCGTCACCTGTGATCTATTATTTTATGCCGCTGTTAATATTCATCGTTCTGGCGTTATGATGGTTTTGTTCTCCCTTGCATTGTCGCTGGTGTTCTTTGACATTGTTTGGGTAGCTCTAATAAACACTTATGTTACTGGTTCTGTACGTATCTGGGGTCAGCGCAGAAAGGAGACAAGTCAGCAGGAAAAAAAAGAGAAACTGCTCTGTTTGAATTTACTGCGTATATCTGCGCATTGTTGCAGACTGAAAAGCACATTAAAAAAATGCTCATGTTATGAAAACAGGAGAAATGTTCTCAGAATAAAAGAACACACGAATCCATCTCCAAGTAGACAATCCATAAGTGACAATAACAGACACATAACATGGGAGATAAGAGCATTTTAAAAGGAAATAAATAAATTAAGTTAGATATTATTGCGTGCTTTGTGTGTTTTTTTAAACACAGCTCTCATTGCTGATTAACATAATTCACTCTTCTGCCACCACAGCTCACTAAACCAGACACGGATCCTACGACCTGAAATTATCAGTGAAATCCTGACTATTTACACTATAGTAAATGGCCCTGTGTGCATCTTGTGATGTCTCTGATTTGGTGGGAACCGACCAGCTCAAGACTTGGGACTATTTCACATAGACGGAGGAGTCATGGGAAGATTTAGTGAGTTTGCATTATGTAAATGAGTGCACCAATTGGTTATTAAAGTCCAAATGCCTCTTTCACACTTTTAACTCTCTTTTTCGCCCCGTTGCTCCTCCAACCACCAACCACCATAAACTTTGCAACTCACTTCACCGAGAAGATTTCTACCATCTGGGAAGAAACCTCTCATCTCTCTCCTTCCCCTTACAATACTTTCCCCAATCCCACTCCCTCTATTCTAAACTCATTCGCACCCACTATAGCGGGAATGGTCTCTCTCATCATCTTCGCTCTGCCGGAGACCTGCGTATATCCTCTGTCCACACTCCTACATCTGATACTCGCTTTCATGACTTCTCTAGGGCTGCACCATTCCTGTGGAACTCCATTCCTTTCTCCGAGTCTCCATTAATTAAAAAAAATAATTGAATTATTGAAAACTCACTTTTTTCAGGAAAGCGTATTAACTAAACTGTAAATAGCCCCTCCACCGCACCCTGATTTCTCCCCTGCATCTGTCATCGAAACACTAAGTCTTCAGTGAATACTATCTTAGCAACCTATCATTTACGTCACTATACCCCACTCCCTCTAGCATGTAAACTCACTGAGCAGGGCCCTAAATCCCTCTGTTACTGTGTCACTATACCCCACTCCCTCTAACATGTAAACTCACTGAGCAGGCCCTCAATCCCTCTGTTACTGTGTCACTATACCCCACTCCCTCTAACATGTAAGCTCACTGAGCAGGCCCTCAATCCCTCTGTTACTGTGTCACTAAACCCCACTCCCTCTAACATGTAAACTCACTGAGCAGGGCCCTCAATCCCTCTGTTACTGTGTCACTATACCCCACTCCCTCTAACATGTAAGCTCACTGAGCAGGCCCTCAAGTCCCTCTGTTACTGTCACTATACCCCACTCCCTCTAACATGTAAACTCACTGAGCAGGCCCTCAATCCCTCTGTTACTGTGTCCCTAAACCCCCACTCCCTCTAACATGTAAACTCACTGAGCAGGCCCTCAATCCTCTGTTACTGTCACTATACCCCACCCTCAACATGTAAGCTCACTGAGCAGGTCCTCAATCCCTCTGTTACTGTGTCACTATACCCCACTCCCTCTAACATGTAAACTCACTGAGCAGGCCCTCAATCCCTCTGTTACTGTGTCACTATACCCCACTCCCTCTAACATGTAAATTCACTGAGCAGGGCCCTCAATCCCTCTGTTACTGTGTCACTATACCCCACTCCCTCTAACATGTAAACTCACTGAGCAGGGCCCTCAATCCCTCTGTTACTGTGTCACTATACCCCACTCCCTCTAACATGTAAGCTCACTGAGCAGGGCCCTCAATCCCTCTGTTACTGTGTCACTATACCCCACTCCCTCTAACATGTAAGCTCACTGAGCAGGGCCCTCAATCCCTCTGTTACTGTGTCACTATACCCACTCCCTCTAACATGTAAGCTCACTGAGCAGGGGCCCTCAATCCCTCTGTTACTGTGTCACTATACCCCACTCCCTCTAACATGTAAACTCACTGAGCAGGGCCTCAATCCCTCTGTTACTGTCACTATACCTCACTCCCTCTAACATGTAAACTCACTGAGCTGGGCCCTCAATCCCTCTGTTACTGTGTCACTATACCCCACTCCCTCTAACATGTAAACTCACTGAGCAGGCCCTCAATCCCTCTGTTACTGTGTCACTATACCCCACTCCCTCTAACATGTAAACTCACTGAGCAGGGCCCTCAATCCCTCTGTTACTGTGTCACTATACCCCACTCCCTGTAACATGTAAACTCACTGAGCAGGGCCCTCAATCCCTCTGTTACTGTGTTACTATACCCCACTCCGTCTAACATGTAAACTCACTGAGCAGGGCCCTCAATCCCTCTGTTACTGTGTCACTATACCCCACTCCCTCTAACATGTAAACTGACTGAGCAGGGCCCTCAATCCCTCTGTTACTGTGTCACTGTACCCCACTCCCTCTAACATGTAAACTCACTGAGCAGGCCCTCAATCCCTCTGTTACTGTCACTATACCCCACTGCCTCTAACATGTAAACTCACTGAGCAGGCCCTCAATCCCTCTGTTACTGTGTCACTATACCCCACTCCCTCTAACATGTAAACCCACTGAGCAGGCCCTCAATCCCTCTGTTACTGTGTCACTATACCCCACTCCCTCTAACATGTAAACTCACTGAGCAGGGCCCTCAATCCCTCTGTTACTGTGTCACTATACCCCACTCCCTCTAACATGTAAGCTCACTGAGCAGGTCCTCAATCCCTCTGTTACTGTGTCACTATACCCCACTCCCTCTAACATGTAAACTCACTGAGCAGGCCCTCAATCACTCTGTTACTCTGTCACTATACCCCACTCCCTCTAACATGTAAACTCATTGAGCAGGCCTCAATCCCTCTGTTACTGTCACTATACCCCACTCCCTCTAACATGTAAACTCACTGAGCAGGCCCTCAATCCCTCTGTTACTGTGTCACTATACCCCACTCCCTCTAACATGTAAACTCACTGAGCAGGGCCCACAATCCCTCTGTTACTGTGTCACTATACCCCACTCCCTCTAACATGTTAACTCACTGAGCAGGCCCTCAATCCCTGTTACTGTGTCACTATACCCCACTCCCTCTAACATGTAAACTCACTGAGCAGGGCCCTCAATCCCTCTGTTACTGTGTCACTATACCCCACTCCCTCTAGTATGTAAACTCCCTGAGCAGGCCCTCAATCCCTCTGTTACTGTGTCACTATACCCCACTCCCTCTAACATGTAAACTCACTGAGCAGACCCTCAATCCCTCTGTTACTGTGTCACTATTCCCCACTCCCTCTAACATGTAAACTCCCTGAGCAGGCACTCAATCCCTCTGTTACTGGGTCACTATACCCCACTCCCTCTAACATGTAAACTCACTGAGCAGGCCCTCAATCCCTCTGTTACTGTGTCACTATACCCCACTCCCTCTAACATGTAAACTCACCGAGCAGGCCCTCAATCCCTCTGTTACTGTGTCACTATACCCCACTCCCTCTAACATGTAAACTCACTGAGCAGGCCCTCAATCCCTCTGTTACTGTGTCACTATACCCCACTCCCTCTAACATGTAAACTCACTGAGCAGGGCCCTCAATCCCTCTGTTACTGTGTCACTATACCCCACTCCCTCTAACATGTAAACTCACTGAGCAGGGCCCCAATCCCTCTGTTACTGTGTCACTATACCCCACTCCCTCTAACATGTAAACTCACTGAGCAGGGCCCTCAATCCCTCTGTTACTGTGTCACTATACCCCACTCCCTCTAACATGTAAACTCACTGAGCAGGGCCCTCAATCCCTCTGTTACTGTGTCACTATACCCCACTCCCGCTAACATCTAAGCTCACTGAGCAGGGCCCTCAATCCCTCTGTTACTGTGTCACTATACCCCACTCCCTCTAACATGTAAACTCACTGAGCGGGGCCCTCAATCTCTCTGTTACTGTGTCACTATACCCCACTCCCTCTAACATGTAAACTCACTGAGCGGGGCCCTCAATCCCTCTGTTACTGTCACTATACCCCACTCCCTCTAACATGTAAACTCACTGAGCAGACCCTCAATCCCTCTGTTACTGTGTCACTATACCCCACTCCCTCTAACATGTAAACTCACTGAGCAGGGCCCTCAATCCCTCTGTTACTGTGTCACTACAGGGAGTGCAGAATTATTAGGCAAATGAGTATTTTGACCACATCATCCTCTTTATGCATGTTGTCTTAATCCAAGCTGTATAGGCTCGAAAGCCTACTACCAATTAAGCATATTAGGTGATGTGCATCTCTGTAATGAGAAGGGGTGTGGTCTAATGACATCAACACCCTATATCAGGTGTGCATAATTATTAGGCAACTTCCTTTCCTTTGGCAAAATGGGTCAAAAGAAGGACTTGACAGGCTCAGAAAAGTCAAAAATAGTGAGATATCTTGCAGAGGGATGCAGCACTCTTAAAATTGCAAAGCTTCTGAAGCGTGATCATCGAACAATCAAGCGTTTCATTCAAAATAGTCAACAGGGTCGCAAGAAGCGTGTGGAAAAACCAAGGCGCAAAATAACTGCCCATGAACTGAGAAAAGTCAAGCGTGCAGCTGCCACGATGCCACTTGCCACCAGTTTGGCCATATTTCAGAGCTGCAACATCACTGGAGTGCCCAAAAGCACAAGGTGTGCAATACTCAGAGACATGGCCAAGGTAAGAAAGGCTGAAAGACGACCACCACTGAACAAGACACACAAGCTGAAACGTCAAGACTGGGCCAAGAAATATCTCAAGACTGATTTTTCTAAGGTTTTATGGACTGATGAAATGAGAGTGAGTCTTGATGGGCCAGATGGATGGGCCCGTGGCTGGATTGGTAAAGGGCAGAGAGCTCCAGTCCGACTCAGACACCAGCAAGGTGGAGGTGGAGTACTGGTTTGGGCTGGTATCATCAAAGATGAGCTTGTGGGGCCTTTTCGGGTTGAGGATGGAGTCAAGCTCAACTCCCAGTCCTACTGCCAGTTCCTGGAAGACACCTTCTTCAAGCAGTGGTACAGGAAGAAGTCTGCATCCTTCAAGAAAAACATGATTTTCATGCAGGACAATGCTCCATCACACGCGTCCAAGTACTCCACAGCGTGGCTGGCAAGAAAGGGTATAAAGAAGAAAATCTAATGACATGGCCTCCTTGTTCACCTGATCTGAACCCCATTGAGAACCTGTGGTCCATCATCAAATGTGAGATTTACAAGGAGGAAAACAGTACACCTCTCTGAACAGTGTCTGGGAGGCTGTGGTTGCTGCTGCACGCAATGTTGATGGTGAACAGATCAAAACACTGACAGAATCCATGGATGGCAGGCTTTTGAGTGTCCTTGCAAAGAAAGGTGGCTATATTGGTCACTGATTTTGTTTTTGTTTTGTTTTTGAATGTCAGAAATGTATATTTGTGAATGTTGAGATGTTATAATGGTTTCACTGGTAATAATAAATAATTGAAATGGGTATATATTTGTTTTTTGTTAAGTTGCCTAATAATTATGCACAGTAATAGTCACCTGCACACACAGATACCCCCCTAACATAGCTATAACTAAAAACAAACTAAAAACTACTTCCAAAAATATTCAACTTTGATATTAATGAGTTTTTTGGGTTCATTGAGAACATGGTTGTTGTTCAATAATAAAATTAATCCTCAAAAATACAACTTGCCTAATAATTCTGCACTCCATGTATACCCCACTCCCTCTAACATGTAAACTCACTGAGCAGGCCCTCAATCCCTCTGTTACTGTCACTATACCCCACTCCCTCTAACATGTAACCTCACTGAGCAGGCCCTCAATCCCTCTGTTACTGTGTCACTATACCCCACTCCCTCTAACATGTAACCTCACTGAGCAGGGCCCTCAACCCCTTTGTTACTGTGTCACTA